ATTGTGCTTGAGGCTAGCAATCTCACCTCGTAGAAAACAATACCATCACTACTGAGTCTTAAAAGTTCGATCCTAAATCCCAGTATTTCATTTGGCACTAAAAGGAATGAGGAGAAAGAAGAGAATCTTAAACTGACCCGGTTTACCATGTAATCTAACTGTTTCAACTTTTACTAGAGGAATAAATAAATATTTGCAAATATAATAATAATAATTTGCATTTACTGTAATTTAAACAGAGATATATTAGTTAACTTTAATGGGCGACCAGTGAGTAGTTGTGACCGCTAAGTCGAGTTTGAGAACAAATGCTCACTGGTAGTGTTATATACCGTGAAATGAAAGACATTAAAATCCATGGGTTATTGGATCCTAGTGGCTGGATGGCGTTCACAGGCCTGGCCTTGTAACCTCCAGTGTAGCGCTGAAGTATCCCAAACTAGGACAAGGCAGCTGTCTACTTTTTTCAGTGGTTCTTTAGTTGACGTCGTCACCTGATCTAACTTAAATAGCCTACTTATTACTATTATTATTAATACTTCAAATAGGCCTATGATCTGTTCCAGAAATGGAAACAGCTGATTATACAATCTGTTCGAAACCAGATTTCTAATATATACTGGTGTTGTGTAAATGCGATTCTTTCTCACAATACAATGGTAACAGCAACCAACTGATTTGACTTACAGTTTTGTTTAAACAAACATTACATAACCTATTCGGTATAGTCTGTAAAATAAAGAAATATTACATCTGATAAGTGTTATTAAAGGTGCTACAAGAGGGAACCGGATGCGTCTAAAATAAAAAGAAAGGAACTGCAGTATCTTCATTGGATGACAGATGAATTCTAAGTGTTTTCATGTGAGAACAAATTGCAGTCAGAGGAAAATACAGTTTTTGAGGGTAGGAAATAATAACCTTACTGGCTCAAATTGCTACCTAGCCCAACTTTTGTAAATGCTATAAAAGGACAGTACTAATTTATCTGTAACTTGGCCGATTTCAACAAACCACTGATTATAGAGTCTTCAAGTACGTTATATTAGGCCATTCATATTTCGGGTACCATTACACGCCTAAATGACAAATTGTTAGCATCTAAAACTGCTGCAGCATAGATATTTATGTGTGATCAAAGAGGCTAAAATTAAGAATATATGAACTCACACGACTAGTTATTTGGACAGAAAAAAGCTATCCATAGAGAGTTTTTCTTAATTTGGAAAAGGTGACGTAATTACTAACTAACCAATGATTATGATGCATGGTAAGCGACAAATGCCCCGACTGCTCAACTGTTCTATAAGGAAGATGCAACTCGCTTTAAAGCTTTCATAAATACGGTTAACTATTACAATTAAACAGAAGTAAACGCACGCGCACTGTTATATATATATATTTATTATGTGGTAAGCACTGGCATCGCATAGCTGCGAAAACCTTCCAGGTGCGATGGGATATAGGTCGACTGTCTGACGAATAAAGATTGAGTAGTTAGGCTGACGAGCCTCACCTAGATTACTAGCTCGCTAGTTTTCTAGCCGGTCCCAAACCCGGATAAAGAGAGAGGGTTGGGACGTGGTGCTAGCAACTCCACCCCCAAAACTTAAACAAATCGCTACAGAAAATTCAACGCACAAATATATTAAAAATTCTAAAAATATAAACAATAACCTTATTTTTTGCTGGAATCGGGGAAGTGAAATGACGCAGGCTGGTCAAAGCCTTCGGGAAGCCAGTCAGCCGATGTGCCTTCTTTCGATGAAAGCAAAAATAAGGATGGGTACCTAGAATGTTCGTACGATGTACGAAACTGGACTGATGAGCAAAAACCCCCTGAAAAAAGCGCGTAGGGGTAAGGCATGAGAGATAAGAACTTTTATTGAGAAATAAAATTATCATGGAATGAAATCGATTGTTTATCATAATGTGGCTGATTTGATGTAATGTCTGGTCCTGCTGTTATCGGATTACTAACCTGTAAGTTTGACGCGTATAATACCAAAGGCATTAGAAACAATCTTAAAGAATCAGCTATTATCTCGCGTGGAGAAACATGACCAACTGGCACAGGAACAACAAGGAATCAGAACTCGCAGGTCCTGCTTACCAGACTTATTATGACCTAGACGAAACTAAGTAGAAGTCATAGGTAACAAGTTACTGGTTTTCATCTATTTTAGTAGAGCATTCAGTAACGTGTCCCACTAAGGCCTCCTCAGCAAACCAAAAAGTTTTGGATGAGACCAGTGCCTATGTGATCTACTTAATGTTTACCTGGCTGATGGAAAAAGAATGGGAAAGATAAGCAATGCAATGTAGGGCGGAAACTGGTGCCGAGTGGAGTGCCACAGGGTACTGCTCTAATTCTCTTGTCATTCCAGTAATGCAGATCAATTTCCGAAAATCTTTATACCGTTTTCATCATTATTTGCGGGTGATGTTACGATCTGGAAAGCTCTAAGTAAGAATGGTGACAGGTCAGTCTTACAAGGTGGTTTAAATAAATTAACTAAACGTCTTACTCTTTGGGAACTGATTTCAGGAAAAGGTTAGTAACGCATTCACGTCAGGAAATTTACGTGTCGTACTTCTTGGAGGACACATAATTACCTGATGTTATGGAACAAAAGGACTCAGGAATTACTGCAAGGTATGACTTTAAATTGCCGCATACTGTAATACAATTAAAGCTATGGCTTTTTGAATGCAATGGGCACTCGAAAGGGCTTCTAAACGCTTAGTGAGTCTAGGTTTGAAGTACTCTACTCCGCATATCTCAGACCTTATCTAGAATACTGTATAATACCGGTTACTCATTCTACGAGGAGGCTTGTGCACAAAGGGTGAGAACTAAGTTAGTCAGTAGCATCTCTCAACTTTCTTATGAAAACTAACTGGGACTTCTACACCTGTTCTCATCATCGTATTAAAAGAGGGTGCCTTGGCTGTTAAACTGCTAGTAAATTAATTAAAGAAACTTATACTCACCCACTTTTAAATACCATCGACATAGTAATGGGTCATTGGATTTGGACATAGACCTACATTCAGTGGATAGCAAATCAAAATCCCAATTCACATGATTTGGCCTGGGAAACTGGACAGTAGCATCGGCCTTCAACTAGGGAGTTTCACTCTGTGATATGGCGAATGCCACACTCATAGTATCACGCGTTAATTGTGTAACATCTTACCTAGGGCACGAGAAGTTGTTCATAATAGCATCTCAGGTTTTATTGTAATTGGTTGGGACGGTATAAATTCCATAGTGGATAAAAGCATAACTTCATTTTGCGTTCCCAAGTCAACACTGAAAATACACTAGCTAGCAGAAGCATTCAAAGTCACGCGATATGAACTACAAGAACATTCCTATACTATAACCTTGGTACTTCACATTCAAACCAACTTCACTATATACTGTTAGGGACTAAATAATCGTTAATGGACAGACTAACCGTATCGTTGTAGTTTGAGGTTCTTCATCTGTGAACATGTCTCCATACGAAGTCAAGTAATAGACTACCAAGTACTTCGAAGCGCATGTTAACTATGCCATAAAATCCTCACATTCGTCAGAAAAATAATACTCTGTTGTGTAGGCAAAAGCAAGTGAAGGGAACCTTTTTCCCCACTCTACAAAGAAGCCAATAAAACTGCTTACCCATGAGTGCTATAGCAAACGCGTCATACATGATTCTATTCTTATTAAGATCGAAACTAAGAATTACACTGATATTTGGGATGCACACGACCAGTCAGAAAATGCAGTTACCTAGCATTTATGTGAATACGCCTATCACAGTACAGCATCACTCAAATTAATGATATTAAATCGCCTTTCAAAATTCAGAGAAATTTGGACTGATACTAAACCAATGATCAACTTTGATTTTGAATTGAAGGAAGTAAATGGCTATTTATTCATATACATCACCTCAAGGTAAACAACATCAGAACTAATTCAGATACGGCACATAGTAACACCTGTTGTGGTATTTTACTGTTAATTAACCAAAGTGTGAGTTCTTTTTACTAAGAATTTAAGGAATACCAAGTAAAGAAGACAGTCAGCTACATATCTCGCACTGATCTGTTTTCTCACTTATCAAACCACACGTAAATATATTTTGTGTTGATTCATCGGACGATAAAATTCTGTTGTTACGCGTCTAAACTCAGCCCAGCATATAACGCCTACACAATTAAAATACCTCTCTATGTTCGTTTATACAGGTTAAGCCAAATTCAGTTAGTCGAAATACCAGACGGTATATGCACAAAACATCAAAACGTAGTCAAGCCATCAAGATGCCAGTGGACCGCATTAATGAAGCAAACAAACCCTAGGTATTATCAAAGCAAATCTGTATTTTAACTAGTGAACATTTCAAATATTAATAACGCATCTCGCATACTAGGAATATCCAAATAATGAAAAGTATTAAAGCCTAAGTGCACTACTCATACAAACCTGAGTTCGGACCAAGCAAAGAATTAAGACGTGATTCGCAAAACCTGACACTTCTGTGAAACAAGCACAAAACCTGATGCACCTCTATCACACCAAGGTGTACAATGAAATGAAACTACTAACAAAAAGTTCCTCATGATTCACTACTGTTGGAAATCGAGTAAGTTCACAACGTAATAGCGCCTTACACAACTATACTTAAGTAACTATTCACCAACAAACTAGGTCTATGCGTCTCTACAGACAATATGCTTCAAACTACTTTTACAAGAAAGAAGACAACAAAACGCACCATGATACGTAATCTATATTTTTTAGCACATTCAGCATATAAAGGCACCATGAGCTAAAGTAAAGCCAAAAAAGTTAGATAGTCTAAGCTGATTGTACCGAAAATGCAAAGTAATGTCATGCAAATATGCGATATTATATATGGGATCTGGAAAAGTCAAGTCACTCGCAAAAACTGTTATCAAAAAAGAAAGCTCTGTGTAATAGACATAAAGAAAAAAAGATTTACCTAGTTGCCTGAAAATTCAGTAATTGGCGTATATAAAGTGTTTGAGTTAAGTGAATGATTAGAACTAGTCATGGGAGAAAATGTTAGCATAGATGAGTCATTTGGGAATTCACACAAAACAGATGATTGAGTAGTGGCTTGATTGGAGGATGCAAAATTATCATTCAAAACCTGGACTTTGTAATTTGGGTCGAATGGTATACCTCGCAGGAGACAAACCTCCCTTTTGAGAGCTAATATTTGGGTTTGCAAAACCAAGTTGGACTTCTCAAGATATTTAGCGCGTAGTGCAATGGTATCTTCTCGACGTTTACGATTGTCCCTCGAACGTTTGGCCGCTAAATTATTTCTCAATCTCCGCAGGATGTAACGCTCGTCTTTATTTGAAGTTTTTGCTCTTTCGGATGAACCAGTTGCTGCACTACAATCGGAATTGCAGTCTGAGGAGCTCACTTGTGAATCTTTAGTACTCAACGAAACAGGTTTGTCATCGAAACTAGATGAACTCTTTGTCCCGTGCTTGCAACTCCGTCCTCGCGTTTTCCTTTTCAGGGTTTGAGCATCTATGTAATCTTCCAGTTCAGCAGAAGTAGATGGCAACACAGAACATACATATGACTGACTGGCGCCTGGTTGAGAACAAGCCCCGGCGGAGTAAGTAACAGGCGGAGTTATAGCCATAGAGTTGATGATATGCTGTTGCTGATTAAAATTACATAAGGATACAGGTTGAACAACTTGCGCTGTTGAGTTGGTATCATAGGAAGCGTTTTTCTGTTTGATGAAATCGGTGGTAACTGAATTCGTGACTGGCTGCAGTGACGAATAAACAGATGATGGAAATGCTTGATGGATCACCGGAAAACTAACAACTTGTGTGTTGTTTTGACGCGCTTCCCTTACATGGAAATTCCCAAAAACATCACTAGTAAAAGGGACTTCCATCCTACCAGCTGATGCTTTGAAGGTGACGAAAACCCGCGCTTGTACTGAGCTGTGTTTTTCGATTCACACAAACACTAATTCAATGTAGATGTGGGAAAAGAATAAAAGATACGCATTAAAACTTAAGATATAAAATATGAAACATGAAAAGAAAACAAGCATTTTTCTTTGTTCTTTTTGTTATTTCATAGCCTGCGGTCATCACATAATTCAAACTAGAGTGGCTTACTATCTTAGTGGAAAGGCGTTGTGGAGTAAAATATTCAGAGAGCACTTTTATGTTGATCCGCTCAGTGAGAGAATTAGCAATTCTCAATGAAAAGTTTCCTCCTTCATCTCTTCAACCGTTCAGCTATGGCTTCTTAGATATTGTGATATGATGGAAAGGAAGAGTGCGTCGGTGGCACAGTGGTTAAGATTCTCGCCGACCATGCACATGGTCCGAGGTTCGATCCCCTGCCGACGCACACCTGATATCTATGGTTGGCCTCCAAAACTTGGGCTAGCGATATCCATGCTGAAAATTCCATACTTGTACAAAAATACAGTGTGGAATCAAGCTGTAATAAAAAATAAAAATAAGAGTGAAGATGGATACAATACTTGGTGGCTACAATGCAAAAAATAAATCAACAAGGAAAATTAAGCGTCCCGAGGCTCTCTCCCTCAAATGAACGCGTCACGACAACAATTACTGCTATGGCACTTAGCGCATACTCCTTCAAGAATATGAAAAGACAAATAGATAAAAAGGCACGCACAGAAGGAGATGGATTCCACACAACGGACAATAGTGTGCACAAGAAGGCGGAAGTTTCACTTGTGACTCTTGTAAAGCCATTGTCTATAACGATTTAGAACTGGTACGCACCAGCATCCTGAAATATACTGAAGCATTTGGTTTATGATTTACATCGACACCTAGTTCCATGTACGTCTCAAGTCTTGTTGGCCATTTGTTGAAGGCCCCTTTGACATCTTTGGAAAAAACATGGATGTTTTTCTTGTTGTTCCAGGAGTTGACCTAGATATACCTAATTGTAACGAGGCTTGTCAGATACGAGAGGTTTTGGTGGAAATCATGCAGTGAAATGTGTTTCTATCTAGACACTTCGTCGTAGATTTTATGACCACCCCTTTCGCTATCTTGACTAAGATACTGGCAGGACCGCTGGGCCTGCAGTTTGAAAGAAATTCCTTTGAGACTCGTCTTTCAAATGTGGGATATTGTTGCATCCTTCAAATCGTGCGGTAGCGCTCCTTGTGCAAAAGAGGGCGTGAACATATAACTCGTAGGCTCACTGAAAAATACTGAGCACATGTCGCCTGTTCCCACAGATTTCCTTATGTTTAGGTATTTTATGGATCGGGACACGATATTTTGTTAGGTTTTGACAGAATCTAGCTCTCTTTCCCGTTGCGCGACCCCAGCTAATGTTTAGAATGTTCTTGGATCTTGTGTGAACACGCCGTTTCCTTTGATCTTCTTCAATTGTACTGATGCTATTAATCAAATTTGGAACTCGCCTGTAAATTCTTTTCCTGACGTTTGCGAATATGATTTTTTGCGTTGAACCAGTGGGTTTCGAGTTGGATACATCTTGAGATGCATTCATGATCGAGGACCTCCTGCAACAGCTTTGTTGCCTATAATATATAGCTTTCTAACCTCTGACGTTTTAGGTGTAGCAAACACGCTCCGGTATTTTTGTTTGCGCCTAAGTAGTCCACAAACATCTTGGTTTATCCTTACAGGGTAAAATAGAGGCAATGTTTTCGACTATTTGAGATAGACCATAGCATGAAGGGCGAGATCACGTGGGTGTAAAGTCTTCTGAATGAACCGAATGGAAATTCCACGTGGGTTTCCAGAATCATCGTCCGTTTCTCCGACGAAGTTTTTAACACATCTAGTCAACCTAGTGCTTGTGTATAGGATATTGCGACAGCTGCCAACAGTGTGATCGCCTCTTCTTATGGGTGGAAACCGCTGCACAAATTTGAAGTCCTCACTGTTGGAGGGAAGCAAATTTAAGGTTGAAGAGTGGCTCTCAGAAATATAATGCGCGCGTATACTTATGTGTTAGACACTATCTGACGGAGTGGATGATTCTACAAGGCTATGGTTACGAGAGATCTGTGAGAATGAAACTATACAGTGAACCTAGTTGAATGATGTGGCATTAGCAACACCGGTGAAAATGCTTCAAAAATTTGACCACATTAATCATGTACACAAACTGATGAACATTTCACTGGTAATTCTGCGTATTGCTGCGTATTGAGCATAAAGATTTTGATTTCGCAGCTACTTTCGACCATGACATCTAACGTATCAGACAAAACTGAGACTAATCAATCCCACTCCTTCCTTCATCCTCGCATTTTTTCAAGTGCAATTTCACTTATCCAGCTTGTGCTACTAGATAGTGTACCGGCCTTAAAAATGCGCACATTATGAGTCCATGTTCCTCTTCGTTCAGCTGCTTAAACTTTCAGTCTAGCCTACCATATGACCCAAAAGGTAAACACTGCCAACACAAAGACACTCTCCATCCTATGTAATAACCGTCATTACAACACGCTGTAATTTGCCTTCGACTGAAACTGAGTCACTCGACAATGTCCTTCATAATGTTTCAGCTCATGTGAATGGACGTGAACATTGAACTTTTGTTTTTGGAACTGGTAGTCATTGTCAGGTAACTCGAAGGCGCGAATGGTTCGATCGTGTACAAGTTCGACGAAGACGAACGAAAACGAATAAAAGTATATAATAAATTTGTATAAAACATTTGTTTATAGACTTGTATTATTCTCCACTTTAATTGCCAAAAAATATATCTTCTTTCTTACATTACTGGTGTTTTGGAGTTAAAGTCGAAGAGAGTTCATAGTAATTATCGGTTCGGAGCGTCTTCGTAGTAATAGAAACTTAGGTTTTAAGTTCCATGACAGTTTTTATTCGTCTTTGGATCTCCTTCTGGGGCAGTTTCTATTCAACTGTTCGTTTCCTGGAGCGCCCTTTAAAACTCTTCCGCGTGTGGTTAATTGATCTGCAGCCAGCTTCTCTTTGGACACGGATTATCAACGCAATTTGGATACTTTGGTGACGTTGGATAATGTCTTGGTCAAGAAAGGGACGTGGCACCATGGAAGCAGACAAAAAAGGAAGTGACGATGACTTCCCTGATGCATGATGCACAGCATCATGCATCTGATGTTCACGCTTCACCGTTTAGGGAAAGTTGTGGTTTAAGGCTCCCTAAGTTTGAACTTCGGTACTTTTACGGAAACAGCCGACTATCCATAGTTTATCAAAGATTTTGAGGTCATGCTGAGTGGGATTGTTTTAAATGACGAAATGAAGTTAATGTATTTGAGGTACTGCACTGGTGTTGCTGTAAGTTTATGTCCCCGAACGAAGGATATACAGAGGCTGGAAAACCATTTATGATATCCCGTAGTGTTTTTGAGACCATTAAAGGTAATGGATCACAGTTAAACGATAATTCAGAGGAACTCGCAGAGTTCTTGGACAGTTTGATGGTATACAGAAACACTCTGTGCCTCTTAATTGCGTAGATGAATTGAATTCAAGTTCCGTGCTTTAGACTTTTACCAAGAGATTACCTGTTCGTCTGCAAAGAAAGTTCATAAAGATCAGTTCACGTCTAGAGGAGGAGGGTTTAGAGCCTAGGTTGGATGATATTGTGAGCCTGGTGAAAGACAGTGTCAACCAAGATTTGAGCAAGTTTGCTAGTATACTGCATCCCACCCCTGGAATGGAGAAATCAGAAAGCAAAACACAATCATTTATGACGAAAAGGTCTCAGAGAAGCGGATATCGAGAAGGCCTTATGGTGTCTAGTAATCCATACAAACCTAGGGAGTGTGACAGCTATCGTGCGACGTCCACAACAGATAGGTCACAAGCTGCAAGACAAACACGATCGTGTTTCGTCCGTTTGCGAGAAGTGCATACAAAGGCGAACTGTGAAGAGGTGACAAATTTTAGTGGAAGCTAAATGTGAAATCAGCGTCGTCAAGGTCTGACTCCGAATTGCGTGACGATAATGGTGCGGTGAAGAAGCCTGTATTTGCAACTGGTAAGCGATTGTAGAAAGAGTGTCACAGACGACACCACAGTTTGTGCAGAAGAAGAGAGTTACAGTTTCAGAGTCCAGTTCTGACTCCACAAGTTTAAAAGGTATTACTAGTTAGAGTAAAGGTATGAAAGCTGTAAGAATTTGTGAGGAAGAATCCGAATCATCTACTGCATTTTAATAAAGAGTTTGGAAATGGTGAAGTCGACCAAATAGACGACGGTAAAGTGGATATTTGTGAAAATGGTCATGATAGTGCGCATTTGTCTTGGGTTGATAATGATGAGACGAACGGAATGTCTACTACTACTGAATTGAACAATGGTTCTGTACAACTCGAACGTGAAGTAGAATTAAAAGCGGATACCGTGGAAGAATGTATGGATACTCGTCAGACCATCAATGGAAACGATCCGCGTGTAGCCCACCTATCGACAGATGTTAAGGCTAAACTAGAGCAAACCAATAAAGATAGTAGTGGTGGTGATCCTTCGGTCAGACAAGCCTCTAAAGGTCGAACAACAACAGCTTCTGATGCACCGCTAACTTTATTAACCGGTATCAGTCAGTCGTCGTTGGTGTTGTCATACACATTGAAGGTGACGTCCATGAACTCACGTGTCTTGTGCTATCGATCCGTTTGAAAGGACGAATGTCAATGGTCAGTTTAGTGAGGATAAGCCAACTGTGTATGAGAGTGTAATTGTTAAACTGACCTGCACGAATAAAGGCCTTTCAAGTATCAAGTTACCATTTCAATGTTATTATCGTTACTGAAAATTGCTCTATGCCCACGCTTGGTTGGTCAGATACGTCGTATGTTTGTGAGTCATCTATATTCTACGATGCAATGACATGGGCGTGTCACCGTTCAGAGTTGAGGATATGGATGAT